TTTTATATAATGAAAAACATGTTAAAGCATTGTCCAATCACTGTTATTAAGTTTCGATAAATTTTTTGACAATAAAACTAAGGTCAGGGCAAGTACATATCATTGCATAAACTAAACTTCCTACCATTTCACAATAAAGTTTGACAGAATTTATTTCGTTTTGCGGTTCTTCATCGTTTGATTTTAGGTTCGTTTCACATAGTGTTATTCTAGGTTTACACTCTCCCATTCCATATCTTTGTAATACATTAGTGAGGTAAACCTTTTGGTTCATAATTATTTTGTCAATACTTTTAACAAAAGTTATTCCAAGAAACTTGATATTTTACCTAAATCTTTCATTTATATTTTTGATCAAGTCTTTCTTTAAAATAGTTCATGGCTTTAGTGGAACTAGTGGCTATAATAATATCATCAACCCAAAATAAAATAATAACTTTAGAATGATTTTCATTGTATATAAAAACATGGGTCGGATTTAGATTGAGTAAAACTTATTTCAATGAGCCAATCTTTTTATAATTTATTCCAGTTTCTCCTACTTTGTTTAAGGCCATAGAGTGACTTATTCAACTTCCAAGTTAATTTGCCATTAGTTTGTTCATAGCCAGGTGGTTGCAATACATAAATTTCACATTCTATTGGAGCATGTAAATATGCACTTTTTGCATCCATTTGGTGTACAATTAGATTTTCATGTGCATATATATTCATAATTATCCTTAACGATTCAATTCTAGCTCTGGGTGAAAATGTTTTAGAGTAATCAACTCCTTCAATTTGAGTAAAACTTTTTGCTACATATCGACCTTTATATATTGGGTTATCAGGCTCACCTATCACTGAGTAAATTCATCTACCTCCTATTAGGTGTTTATCGTTTGGTAAGGTAGTAAGAGTGTACGTATGGTTTTCATTTAATGACTTTATTTCTTCATCCATTGTTTTCCTCTACTCACAGGCTTCTTCGCTTTGAATGGCATCACTGGTTACTTTTACACAATAGCAATAGTCGATATATTTAATGTAATCATTGCTTTCAGAATTATCAATAATGTAATCATTTAAATATTTAGGTGGTATTCTAGCTCTTTTTAGGTTCCTACGGTTTTTAATAGATTGTAGCTTTGTAGGTTGATGCTGATATTTTTGGTATGAGTTTTCAATCTCATCTTCATCAATATCATTTGGTGTTAAAAGTCTAAAATTTTCAGTAAACTTTTCTAATCTATGCTTTAGAACAAAATTTGTTTGTTTTCCTTAATTACATGTTTCACAAAAATAACTATTACTATTGGTAATCTTCATACCTTCATACCTTTTTCTAATATCTTCAACCTAGGATTTTATGCCATGTATTAATGGTTTCTTTTCGAACTTTACTCGTTTAAGTTTTGAGTAAATAATATAATTTACCTTTAAAGTATATTGGGAATATTGTTCCATTTTTAGCAATCAATTCTCCATTATTACCTTTGAAGTTGACAATTGCACCTTTTTGTGCAGCAGCTTGATCAGAAAATATACAATTAGGGTAACTTGGTATAAAAGTAGTTTTTTCAGTTTAACTTGAACTACATTTCTATCCTCAGTAGTTAATTCTACTGAATTTGTTCCATGTTTTTGGGCCACATTGTTAGTTTTTGTACCATTAGCCAACTCAATATAATGTTCATCTAGTTTAAAATGTTCATCCAGGTAAATAATATATTTATCACTATTAACAATATGAGTGGTTGCTCCGCAATCAACAATGAATGATTAATTTTCAGATAAAAGTCGCATATTTCCTTCATCAACTTTAAATACATAATTTTTAAATACATCAACTTTAAATACATAATCAATACTTTGATCTGTTAACTTTTGGCCTTATCTTTTTCCTGTTGCTGATTACGATAAGATTTGTCATTTTGAGTGCTTGATTTACACAAATTACACCATTTTCTTTCTTTGTTTTTATAACAATTTATAGATTTATGACTTGGAGTGCCACATCTATAACATTTTGCAATGTTTTTGTTTTTAAATTTCACATTATTTTTCATAATACTGCTTATATTTGGTTCAATCTGATTACTTATGAAAGTTCCTGTTTAAATTTTTGGAAACACTTAACAGTTTCTGATTGTGTTACAACCGCAATAAAATATTTATATTCATTTGTTAATCCCTTTAAGACCATTTCTACTAAGAGTGAATCACTTACAATTTCATCTGGAGATCTCAATGCTTTTGCTGATGTTTCTGCTCTTATTATATAGTCGGTAATTGATTCCGAAGTTAATTTTTGAAGACTTGTAAGTTGATTGTGTAATGTTATAATTCCTGGTTTGCTACATCCAGAATAGTATTATTTAACTATTGAGAATGCTTCTTTTCCTCTATCTCGAAATCTCTCATTACCAATGAAAGCGATCGTTCATCTAGGTATCGAATTAACTCTGCAAACGCTGATTCGTTTTCATCTTCATTGACTTCTTGAGTTCCAGTAATAACATCCTTTAAACCTTTAAGTTTCATGTATCCTAATTTTTTAAATTCCCATAATTCAAACTTTCTTTAATCTCCATCGAATAATAAACTTTGATATTGGCTTCAGAGCCCATAACCTGTTAAGTTGATTCGTCATAATGGAGAAATAAAGGGGGAATAAAAACAAACTCAATATATAATCTAGGTATTGTGGTTTATCCTCCTCCGACTAGTGGCCATACAGAGGCCACATTACAAAGGCCCGCAAAGACAAGTTCGGCTCTCCAGGGAGCGTCATAACCCGTTCTACGGACCAAGAGTAAGTAAATTTGGAAAGAACGAAGATATGTTAGAGTGAAAGACAGTAGAAGTCGAACTCAATATATAATCTAAATATATATATTAATAGTATGAAGCGGCCATATTGCCACGCGTGCTTTTATAGGGAAACGTTAAATCCAATCCGTCAAAGTGCTGTTTGAAAACATTTTAAAAATTCTTGACCCGATTACGGCATTTATAATGTGATACAAATGTTTCAAAATTGATATTAAACGAAAATATTATTAATAACAACATGATTAATAATAAATATGAAATGCAAATGTTATTAAAAGTCTCAGAGTTTCTTTTGTTTTAAAGTTAAAACTATATTTCCGTCGGAGATCGCATCTGTCAGTAAAATTTAGATTGCACTTTGAAGGATTGGATTTAGTGTTTTCCGCTTTTATACAACTCTACTTAACTACTTTATGGTCCGCAAATAAACGACAAATACAACGACCGTGTAGATGACATCACTGTAACATTGTTCGTTTTATGTTTAATTTACATTTAGTTATGGTTCAACTTTTTCACTACCGCAAGCCACTGGTAGCGGCTTTCGAGTATGCATTACAATTTATTTTGTTTGTACATAAATTTCCAGTCTAGACAAATAGAATTTGCTTGTTCGGAGGGCTTAATTAATTCTCTACATAATCAAGAAAAAATAAGAGCTATATTATATATCACAAAGTTAAAAAATTTTAAATAATCCTTCATAAAAAAACTTTAAATTTAGTTATAAAATAAAACAGCATTAACACTGTAAAACTTAACTTGTACTGTTAAGTATTTAGTTAAGTAATTACCAAAATATTTTGAAGAAAAAAAGTTATTTTTATTCATTAAATGAGGTTTATTTTAAACTTTAAATACTACTTACAAAAACAATAGTTTTAAGCTCTTTGCCTTAATTATTGCTCTTTAATGCATGTTAAAAACTTTATTGTTATCTAATTGTCAATGCTATACAGACACGTTATTTTAAAAAATGTACAAAAAGATTTTTGTTCGGGTGGTAAAATAAGTCGTTTAATATTTATTTTCTACTTAGTTCAGTTTATATGTTTTATTCAAGTCACTCTTTTTTTTTCAGTTTATAGTTTAAATTTATTTATACGCTTTTGTAAAATTATTCTTTTAGTATCTAATTTATATTTAGTTTAAACCACTACGTTTACTGTGAATATTCGTTGTATGTTAAATTTTTATTTTTATAAATTTTATAAATTTAATTTTTAATTGCATCATAAACTTTTTTTGCGATTAAGTAAAAAGTTATACAATTAACATGATTTGGTGATTTTGGCAAAAAAAAATAATACGACATCTTGAAAATGAAAAAATTTATACCAAGACGTCATATACCAAAACTGTTATGAATTAAAGACGCATGGAATAAATTATCAAGTCTGCAGATTGTGGCTAACATTATACAGACTCCAAGAACCAAAAAAAAATGGAGACGGCGAGCTTCGACTAAAATGTGAATTTTAAGTTTAATGGTGTGCATTCATTATATAGTTTTAATCAAAAAAATTTAGCCCAAATGTTCTTTTTAAACATTTTCTTTAATATGAACACAACTTGTCTCAGTAGTTGGGGATCCCTTTAACTAATTAATGAATTAATAGAAAAAAGACTTGCTTTTAAAAAAGGATCTATTGGCTTGTTGTTATTTTTTTTTTATTTGTTTTTTTATTTTTTAGTCTTTTTTTTTTATTTTTTTTTTATTTTTGTGTTTATTGGATTTACATCAAAGTTCTATGATAAAAGTGTTAAAAGTTAATTGCAAAATGCCTAGATACAATTTTTTTCTATTAAATGTAATATTCAAACATTTTAAAACATTAATAGTTTGTAATAATTTTCGGTGTACTGTATGTTACTTGAAACACAGAAACGTTACTTTATCGATCAAAAGTTACACTAATTTTAAAGTTTTTATTTTTATTTTTGCAAATAAAAAAAATAATTTTTTATGTATAACTCATTTCTGATTAGCAATACTAAAATAGATATATACAAATATATATAAATAAAAAAACAATTTTTATTTATATAAAATCTAAAACATTGACAAGTTTTTGAAGCATTTTTAATTAAAAATATCATCCTTTAATATAAAATATAAAATATTTATTTAAGGTTTCTTATTTTTGTAATATGCTAACAATTTAATGTTTTTTTTTTCATTGTATTGAAATAGAAAAATAAACAAAATAAATATTTACATTTACATAGCTTGATTAAACTCAAATTTCGCGTGTCAAAGAAACTGATTTGATTTTTAAAAAGAAGGTAGGTTTTTACTTTATAAAAAAAAGTTTGCAACTATATATCTTTGTTTGATTGTTTGTATTTTTACACATTTTACTAATATATATATATATATATATATATATATATATATATATATATATATATATATATATATATATATATATATATATATATATATATATATATATATATATATATATATATATATATATATATATATATATATATATATATATATATATATATATATATATATATATATATATATATAATATATATATATATATATATATATATATATATATATATATATATATATATATATATATATATATATATATATATATATATATATATATATATATATATATACATATATATATATATATATATATATATATATATATATATATATATATATATATATATATATATATATATATAATTGTAAAATAGTATGATCTATTTACATCATAAATTAGCGTGAGAATATTTTTTATGAATATAAGTTAAACATGCTGCTTTGAATCTTGGAAAGGGTGCCCTTTTAGACATCACTGGGTTCCCCTTGTAATTCTAGATTTAGAAACCAAAAAAACGTTGAAAGTTTTGCTTATAATATATTTAAATACATTTATTTTGTGTTGATTTTGAACAATAACCACTGTCAGGGACGGGCGAAAAAACAAAAGAAACCTTTATTCTTTAAATTTACATCACATCTCTGTGCTGGCCTTTGTGCATTTTGTATTTTATTTAAATAACTCTTTTTTTAAAAATTCTGGAGAGCGATCCGATTCATCGAACTACCGTCTCATTAGTCTGCTTCCTTTCATAAGCAAGATTTTTGAATCTTTAACTAACAAACACTTAATCTCTCATCTAATAACATACTTTCTAATCATCAGTATGGATTTTGATCTTCTCGTTCTACGGCTAATTTGCTAACAGTAATAACCAATAGGTTTTATTGTGCATTCGATAAAGGTGGAGAGGTTAAGGTCATTGCTCTTGGCATTTCTAAAGAAATTGATAAAGTTAGGTATGCTCGTCTTCTCCATAAGCTTTTTTCTTACGGTGTATCTGGTAACACCTTTAAGATTATTGAATCCTTCCTTTCCAATTGTAGTATAAAAGTTGTCTTTAACGGACAGCACTCCTCTTCTTCTGATTCTGTAACCTCAAGGATTCCTCAAGGTTCAATCCTTGGCCCTATACTCTTTTTAATTTATATTAACGATCGTTCAGATATTCTCACATCTAAGGTGGCATTTTCCGCTTATGATTCTACCATTTTTTCTAGTCATGATAAGAAGCCAACTCTCTCTGATTTCTTGGAAGGGGCATTTGAGCTTGAAAAGGATTTCACTTCTGCTACAGCATGGGGCTCACAGTGGCTGGTGAACATTAATTCAGATAAAACTTAACTTTTTCAGCCAATCGTTATCGCAATAATTTAGATCTTCCTATATTTATAAATAGTAATGTACTTGATGAGTCATCTACCCTTCATCTTCTAGGATTAACTCTTACTTTTGATTTTTCTTGGAAACCATATATTAAATCCATTGCAAAATTAGCATCTGCTAAAGTTGCATCTCTTTATTGAGCTCGACACTTTCTTACTCCTGATTCTATTATCTCTATAAATCTCAAATTCGATCTTGTATGGAATACTGTTGCCATATCTAGGGCAGATCTTCTAATGATTGCCTTTCTCTTTTAGATAAGGTACAAAAACCCATTGTAAACATAATTGGACCTACTCTTGCAGCCAACCTTTAAACGTTATCACATCGTCGTAGTGTTGCTTCTCTTTCTCTTTTCTACAAATACTATAATAGGCACTGCTCTAAAGAGCTAGCGTCTCTTGTGCCATCTACTAAAATTCACTCTTGTGTTACTTGTCATTCAATTAAGTCTCATCCTTTTTTTGTTACTGTTTCCAAGTGCTCCAAAAACTCTTATTCGTCTAGTTTTTTCTCCGAACATCAGTTCTTTGGAATTCGCTTCCTTCATTTTGCTTTCCTGCAGCCGTATTCACGTCTTTCTGTTAAATTAACGGAGAGTTCAAGTGACCGTTAAGAAAAAAAATTGTTAACGGGCCGTTACAAAACGGATGGAGAAAAATCGTATTCTTATCCTTCCGTTAAGTCACCGTTTATTAACCGCTCCGTTAACTTTTTCAGTTAAATTCTTTCCGTTTGCCCGCTCCGTTAGCTAACTTTCGGGCCGTTTTTTACATAAAACCAAATGTTGCGATGCCAACTGGCAATAATATTGTTGAGATGGATCATCACAGCGTGATTTTTTTAAATGACTGCTGCGTAACTTTTTAAACTTAATTTAAACAAATTAAAGTAATAAGAAACTGTTTTAGACTTGCACAAACTACTTATTTTTTATATTTTTAAATTAAATTTTTTATATTTTTAGAGTTAAATTATATATTAACACCATCAAAAACAATTGAATTGGAGTTTCACTATACTATGAAATTAAGTTACTCTATAAAACTCCATCGCTCCATCACAAATTAACAACAAATAAAAAATTAATAAACCGTTTATTATTATAAAAAAGGAATTTGAAAATGAGTAAATTTATTCAAATAAATTATTGTTAAAAATGTCGCAAAGCAAAATCATCACGAAATTGAAAATTATTTTCATGTACAATATCTTCATTATCATTTTCATCATTTTCAATTGGATTTTTATCCATGTCTCTGTCATTTCACTGTATTGCTAAATTATGCAATACTGCGCACGCAGCAATTAAGGTACAGATTCTTTCAGGGGTCATTCGAATTTCTCCATGAAGCAAATGAAAGCGTCTTTTCTACCTTCCAAACACTTTTTCAATTATAACCCTTGTTTTTCTTAAAGATATATCATATCTACGCTGAGATGCTGTAGTTGGATTTAAATAGGGCGTAAGTAACCAACGAAAACACGGATAGCCGGAATCACCAATAAGTAAGCCTTTAAGAGTTCCATCTATAAATTTCTAACAAAATTTTGACTCTCTTAAAATCCTTGCATCATGTGTGCTCCCAGGCCATTTTGCAACAACATCAATGAACTTTCCTTTGTTGTCACACACCGCTTGGACATTGATTGAATGATTTGATGACCTATCAACATAAGCATATTCGTGCTTGTGTGGTTTCTGTATGCATGCAATCTATTACGCCAGTTACTTTTGGAAATTCAGCCATTTCATAAAATTTTACTCTGCTCTTGTTTAAAACGTGTCGATTTGTTGGGTATTTGATGTATTCATTAATTCGTTTCGCTAGGCCTAAAGAAACTCGGCGAATGATTCTTGAAAAAGTCAGTTGACTGAAAGCTGCTGTAGAATCACCGACTACAATTTGAAAAGATCCTGTTGCATAAAATAGAAGTGCACATAACACTTGCAAAATAGGGGCCACAATTAAAGTTTGGTTTGACTTTGGCTGTAAATCTATCAGCAAATCGGTCAAATAGAAAATAGATGCTCTACGAAACCTAAACCTTTTATATAAGACTATGTCATCAGAAATATCGAGTGAGTTGTTTCGGTTTCTAAATACTCTTTCTCGTCTGAGAGCTCTTTCGACAGCGATTTCTTGACGTCTTACTTTTGCGAAAACCAGTTGCATATGTGAGTCTTATAAAAGTTAAATTTCAATTTATTGTTGATTGTTTTGAAGTTATTTTTATATAATAATATGAACTATAAAAATATAAAATAATTTTTTTTTTTTAATTTTTCTTTTGCTTAAGAACAAATATAACTCATTTTTCCAATTTTATGTCCATTGTCTCTAATTCGGATTCTTTCCCAATTTTTATGTTCTTACAATACTGATAAATTCATTTTTTATTAAACTTGAAGAAAATGAAAACAAATAATAATAAATATGAATATATTTTCAGAAAATCATCGCAAATTAAAAAAAACATGCTCTGTAAATATATTTATTTAATAAATGTAAACTTAAAGAGAAAAGTTAAAGTTGTTTAATAAAAAGAACCTAAGTTTCCAGATTTTTTCTGTCGAACAATTGCTAAAATTATTATTAGTTATGGTTAATTGATCTCCATGTTGTTTTGCTTTTGAGATAATGTTTCGCATTTGAGATATTTAAATCAGCTACCGTTAACAAATTAGTTTTTTTTTCAAAAACAATAACAAATCATAAACAAACATTTTAAACTGTTTCTTTTGTGCTTTTAAATTTCTTATGAACACGATTCTGCTCAAAATTTTATCTTTTCTGTTTCATTATCATTAAATGTTCCATATCATTTAATGTTCCAACATCGGTTTACATGGTTTCGCATCTGTTTCCAAAACTTCAATGTTTTACTTCAATGTTTAACTCCCATTTTATACCTAAATCACTTATAATTTAGGTATAAAATAGTACATATATATATATATATATATATATATATATATATATAAAAACAACTAAATAGCGGGACTTTCATGCCCAAAGGCAATCATCAGCCGCGAATACAAACAAAAAACGTCATAAACCGTTTTATTAAAAACTTAAAATTAAAATTAAATACCGCAGATTCAGACGTGATAAACAAATCTGAGTAAAAAAAAAAAACAAGAAGCCGTTTAGTTTTCTAGTCTTTTGTGTCAAATAAAGAGAGCAAGAATTCCTTTGAATGTCGACACTGAGATACAATTTCATTCTTTTTGTTCAGTAAATTTGTTCCACTATGTGATAAAATTACATCTTTTTTATAGAGACAGAGGTGGCATATTTTTGTTGTAAGATTGTAGGGACTGCAACGTTTAATTATTCTCCACGTTATGAAAGGTTTTATGTTTTGATCTTTCAAGCTCCATACTTCTTTTAAAAGTTCAGTGTTGTTTCTGTATTTAACTGAAGCAAAGGATTTTAGATGATTAGCGTATCTTAACTTAGATAATGTGTGACTAATACCAAAATATACTTTTTTGTTACCTTCATTATTAATTGTAGCTTGGTAAACAATGTTGTCGGACAAAAA